TGCTTGTATTGGCGATATAGCTATTATCTGGAACTCGACTTTATATGGAAAAATAATTATTGGTAAATAATAATTTACTAACCAACCTATGTATTTTTTTTAACATGGTACCTAAGTTGCCAGTATAAACTTTGGGGGACCGGCCATACACTGATTTCGCGCAACATGTATTTTCTTGTCCATACCACGACATTTCATGAGTTTGATAGTCTGCTGATTCCCCCCCCTCCTACTCTCTCGCACCCCTCCTTCCGTCGTTATTGTCCCTACCGCTGCTGCCGCCGATGCGACCTGAAAGCGACTCACCAGAGATGGACTCCGCCTCCTCCGCCGTCTCCTCGTCCTCTTCTTCGTCCTCTTCCAGAACCCACTGATGGCTGTCGTCCGGATGTGCCACACATTCAAATTCACAATTCAGATTAAAAAAGTCCTCCAAGGTTACTGACCCAGCCAATGGGTCCTCCTCCAGCGGTTTCGGCTTCGAGCGCGGTTCAGCGAACAGGGCGCAGAGCACATAATTGCCACAGTTGGGAAATAGTTCGAAGGCATCTTTGGCATCTTTGGCATCTTTGAAGAGGGCAGATATACAGCTGAGAGGTGTATGACTGGAGCTTGAAGATCCTCTGTCGATAGAAAACCCATACGAATATGTGATCCACGTGAGGAAGGAGCTGCTTTGGCATGTGGATTGACGGCTTCCAGTGGTTTCTATGTCTTTCTCATTGCCAAAATAAACTGGTTCTCTACGGCTCTGACATGATCCACAGCCCAAGTAGTCGCAAAAATAGAAAATACGGGGTTTGGGATGCTCCTGTTGGTACAAGAGGATGCGCTGGGTTTGCAGATAGTCAGCGATCCAAAATTCGGGGAAGGGGTCGAACTGACCGGAGTCGGTGGAAGCGACTGAGTAGCGGACGTGTGCGACGGAGGGGACAGAAGTGGAAGGAGTGGAAAGGCTCATATGGTCAGACTCCAGATCCAGATCTGACAACCGTGCTTTGACTTTGGCCTTCAAATGTTTCTTCAGCGTTGGCTTGGTTGAGACATCCTCGTCGGCAGATGTGATCTGAAAATGCGTAAGTTCAGTGGATCAGAAGAGAGCAGACCGTAAAGATATAATGATTTCTGACAAAATCGGACATATT